TATTGTATCTAGAACTTGCATTTAAATCAAAATATGATGGAAGATCAGTAAGTTATACGAGTAACATCTCACCCGCAAGTTTCCTCAGTTACTCCGTGACCATGGCGCTTGCAACAGTGCCGAAATATCGGAAACTCAAAATGAAGGTACATGGTAGCAATCCCGTCAGTAATAATAATTAAGTTATACGAGTATGAGAGAATTCCCTGTGGCATTAAGCTCATCTTGTGAATCGGATTTTAAAATAAATATATTTAGTTTTCCTTTTGTGAACTATACTGGCTTTGCTTAATCGGCTAGCTCACAAACTATACATAAGCTAGATAACTCACGCATTCAGTCAATAGCGCCTTTGGCTATACCTTGCTCCATTTGGCTACTACCCTCTGCAAGTTTACTGGGTACAGTGCTTAAGTACTCTCAAGTTTAACTGGTCGATTGAAAGCTTGAGGTCAGACTAGATGTCAGACCTAAGTTAAGCACTAGGTGCCACGTTATAGCCGTGGTCAGTAGGTTCACATTGTTCGTGGCGATCACTGCGATCGCTGGGAAGGACCGGTCGTTGTAGAAATCCTTGGGGGAGGTCTTTGTCGAGCAGTGGACGTCATTTGGCTGAATCGAACGAACAGTCAGCATAAAATAATTAGTAACCCCCGTTAGTGGCCAATAAGAGCAATAAGGTTTTGTTATCAACTTTTTGGCCACTTTTGTTGTTACGATACTATACTACTACATCACATCAAGCTCAACACTGCCTCTTATGTAGTTTATATAAGGGCTATTTTACAACAAAATAGTCTGTTACTACTGTACTGTTGACTGTACACCAGTTTATTGTGGTAAGGTACGAATTAAATTGGTTAAACGAACTTTGATAGTTGAGTTTAGTTTTGATCCCTCAAGCGAATACAATCAAAATACTATTCGCAACTTTATTTTTACTGGGTTCATTTGATCTGAACGAGCATATTGATGAAAGAAAAATATTAATAAAACTTGGTTTAATTTTAGAATAACATTTTTAAAACTTAAATTACGAGTTTGAATGAAAAAATAATATTTAACGAAGGAAAGTCATCTATCAATAGACGCTTTGGAAATAGCGGATACCATTTCTACGTATGTAAGAAGTATGAGTACTTACATTTTTATCTTACGCCCGTATTCACAAACGATTGTTGCTTAAGTGAAGCAGTAAATCGAACGCACAGCGTTGAATAAAGCTTTGTGCTTGGTTCGTGTGTCATCCTGTGCGTCCACGCTCACTGTGAGACCTCATAGTAATGTTTGTGAATACGGGCGTTATTTATGTAATTCTCGGGTTCGGGATTTGTATGACTAACTTCGTCAGAGGTCGCGGGATCGATCCCTGCCAAATACAAACATTTGTGTGAGTCAGATGTCCATATTAGTAAAGTAGCACGGTTTAGTAAAGAAAACTTTCTAGTTTACGATAGCTAGACTTGAATCGTTATTCAAATTTCTTAGCGATTAGAGTCGCATCTCAAACAAAATTTTAAATAATCAACTTGATGATAAAAAACGCGGCCGTACAGCGTATTTTTTTAGTGAAAATTTCGACGGGATCATCCAGTGTCTAACGCCCGTATTTACAAACGATGCTTGCTTAAGTGAAGCAGAAAATTGAACGCACAGCGTTGAATAGTGCTCTGTGATTGGTTCGTGTGTGACCCTGTGCGTCCACGCGCACTGTGAGACCTCATAGTAATGTTTGTGAATACGGGCGTTAGTAACTCAGTTGGAAGAGCAGGCGCCCGGCAAGCGAAAGGTCGTGAGTTCGATTCCCGCCTTAGGTAGTTCGATTTTTTCAAGTTGTTTATTAAACAACATATTTAAAAGCTAGACTTGACTCACATTATAGTCGATAGATTGATAGGAGGCTCTTCTGTATAAATGTTCGTTCGTTTCAACAAAGGTCGCCCCATGCTGGGCAAATGCCTCCTTAAAAACTTCCACAACGACCGCTGCTGTGTTTTCCTTACTTTTTACTACTGAAAAAAGTGAATCAATAATTTACATGAAACAAAACACTAATGAATGAAAAACAATGAAGCCAATAAACTAGTTAAATGGAATAAGCAATAACCGCGTAAATTGAATTCCTACCAATAGCGATTATGTAAAACGCTTATTTTACAAAATGCACCCACAATGCAATATCGAAGAGCAGATTCTAACATAATTTCATGGGCTAGTACACTTTTGTTATATGATATCAGAGCGAAGTGTAAAGCTTACTGGAAGCGTCATATATTTTATTATTTTATGCAGTTTTTTTGGACCGTAGGCACGTGGGATCAACTCCCTATACTGGATCTATGTAGAAATTGACATCTAAAAGACAACTGGCAACTTTTGAATGAAAAAGCTCGAGATTGTGCTTTTATAAACTTTTTAAAGCGCTTTTAACGGGCTGCCGTTGGCTGAAATGATAATACGTAATAAATGTAATTTGCTATGTCTTTTTTGGACTTCATGAGTAAATTTTATTAAAATAAATAATAAGTTTTTCTTTTTCATATAAAAAGTTGGGTTAGTTTACCATTTATAAACTCAAGAATAGCTGAACTGATCTTAAAGCTCTTTGATTGAATTGATCTTTGATGATTTGTTAAAATATCAGATTCAGCAGTGGACGTCCTATGGCTGAAATGATGATGATGATGATGATGATGAATTAGTCCATACACAGAGCATGGAAGAGCCGTAGTGGCGCGGCGATTCCATGCTCTGTGAGTCCATATTTTTATGACCGCATCATTTCGCGCTAGAAAATCCCTAGCGCATACGTCCTGTTCAATGAAATCAAAAATATATCATCACATAACTTTGATAATTTATTATACACTCGGTACTTTTGTGGCTGCGTTGTCGAGCGAGCGGAAAACTAGATCGGATAATCTAGTGATGGAGCCTATTTCGAATAGGTATATTATAATGAATGACTGCCATCAATAATTATAATAATTTAAGAAATTAATAGTTTAAAAAACTAAAAACACACTCTTAATTACTACACTGCTAGCACGAACAACTTTTGTCTTCGAATCGTTTGCGTATTCGACAAAAATCGATACTCAATCTTCGAATTAAACGATAACGTAACAATTTTGACTCTCAAAATAAGTTTCGTGCAACCATTTCTCATACTAAGTTCACTTTACGACACGTTCATAAGGGCGCTGTTGTAGTTTTCGTACTAAATCTTTTGATGGCGATTCGAATACGCAAACGATTCGAACTCGAAAGTTTTTCGTGCTAGCCGTAACTAAAAGGCCAAATATAATCAGGACCCTGGACATCATCTAGCAAAGCGCTCGAAAAGACAAATCCAACGAACCCAAAGTCGATGAGTTTAAGACAATTTTTATTAAATAAAATCCTTATTTCTTACTCCTGTCTGGTATTTACATAGTCTTATTAAAAAAATATTATCATAATATCACTTTGATAATTTCCAACCGACTTGCCTCGCACTTCCAGTAATTACATTGCGTTGTCGAGCGAGCGGAAAACTAGGTCGGATAATCTAGTGATCTAGCCTATCTGGCTCTCGAATATTGCTATTCTATAGGCTTCCATTTTTAAATTGGTGTAAGTAGACTTTTTATTAGGTCGAACCTTTATTCCAATACTGTGAGTGGATTGACGTCGATGGTTTCAAGATTGTGATTTTCTAAGGGTCAGTGTTTTGATTCATATTAACCCAAGTATTACTTGCGTAGAATAATAATGTAGGTAGGTACTTCGTGTAATAGTCAAAGTGTTACTAAAGGTTAATATAGAAAAAAATAAAATAAAAGTTAAACATTGTTCTAAAAGTCAAGCTATTAACCATGATTTCAAAGACAAAAAATATGTAGGTACGTCACCTATATTTTGCGATTCATATCACCTAGTCTAATGTCCGTTTTCATCATCAATCCCTAATTTTTAAGTGACCCCTATAAAAACCCAATTCCTGTTTTGTGTTAGGTACCATAGGGGTCACTTAAAAATTAGGGATTGACGGTAAAAATGGGCATATATTTTTGCCAAATAAGTACCCTCTGTGAATCAAATCTAGGGGTTTTTCCAAATAATCCGAACAGGAATCAAACCTGGGATCCAAGTTCGGTCCCCATTATTTTACAAGTCTCGAACAAAACGAACGTCTCCTATTTCTCACAAAAACATGATTAGGTGCTTAAATTGCTAATATTACTTTTATATTTTTCATTTCAGGTCCCATCCTCAGACACAAAGCGTCCACTTATAAGCTCATCAAAATTATAATGAGTTTTTGTATATTATCCAAGTTTGATTGATTTAAAATGCTATTTATTCCAATAATGACTTCTGCGAGGAAAATTAATTATTTGGACTACAAAACGAGAAGTCATTTTATGGAGCTCTGATTGGTCGTTGATTAATTCATTTCAATAAAAGCTATCTTCGTCGATAAAATCCGATAAACTTATTGAGTCTTCATAGCTCCATAATGAATAAAATCTCCGCTGCGGTATTCGTTTAATTTTACAAATTGCACTGAAACGGTACTAAAGTATGTTAAACCATAAACAGACATTTCTTTACTTCGCACTACCTACTTCAATATTTATTACTCAAGGCACTCTGAATGAATCCACGTTATACATCACTCGATTACCACCCGCTGTTACCTCGTATTGCTTTTATAAACTTTATTTATTTCCTTTACAAACACAGTTCATTTTTCAATAGAACGGACACTCAAAAACACGGCCCAAATTCATTAATGAACTGCGTTCGAACGTAAACATCTTTGTGTAAAAAACAAACAACTATCAATCTATTAATGGGCATCACGTGGTGGCGTTAATCGGTGTTATGCGCACCTATGAATTGAAGCGATTATAGTACAAAATGTCAAAAAGCAAAAGCTCGGTGGACTAGGGGCGGCGACCGCGGTTAGGAGGGGAAAGTGGGGAGAAGGGGAGCAATGCCGCCAGTCACTCGCCGTCCGCCGCGCCGCGAGCACGCCTGTGATGCGCGACGCCTGACGACATGGCCTCGTCCGCGACCGGTAACATCGTCGTCGAGTGGCTGCGATCTCTCCACTTGGGACAGTACGCGGAGAGTTTCATCGACAATGGCTACGACGACTTGGAGATATGCAAGCAAGTCGGCGAGCCGGACTTGGACGCGATCGGCGTCCTCAACCCGGCACACCGGCAGAGGCTGCTGCACTCCGTCAGAACTTTGAGGGAAGAAGGTGCAGCGGCGGTTTACTTTACTTTGGAGGAAGCAGCCGCGGCTAGAGACCCTTGCCGATGCGAGGAGGAAGCCCGCAAGGAGCAGGCGACTGTTTCAGTGGAACCGGCGAAGTATGCCGACGAGTATGAAGAAGGAAAGGCGGAGTTGGTGAAGATTCCGCGTATGCAGCTGAAGCGTCTTCTCCGCGAGCGCCTGGCTCAGGACGGGATCCGTCTGAGCCTGCAGCCGTACTCCACCACGGTCAGTGCTTAGCCCAAACCGGGTAGTGATTCTCGCGGTGACACGTGACGTGAAAGTGAAGTTTTGGTCATGAATGAGTTTGTGTGGTGATGCCGCGTAGAAACACTGCCTGCGTATTGTTATTTCTTTTGAATAAGGCTGTGTGTGGTACGGCCGTCGTCGGTCGCCCCAGGCGGATCGCTTCTCGAGACGTGTTGCCATAAAGTTTGTTGCGTGCGTGATTTCCCTTGAGATGAGGAGTTTGCGCGCCTTCCTGTCGTGAGAAGATTGTAATCGCGTGCCTCCCGGCTCTAAATTGGGTTTTACGATAAATCGCGTAACCTGTTCCAGCTCCCTGAGGCGTTAATTAGTAATACAACTTGTTCCGACATGAAACAAAGATCTCAATCCCCGAAACTGATTACAAGTTTTACGGGTCATTCGTGGTTTGCTAATGATCTCGAAAGGAAAGCAGTAATAATGTGTATTTACTTCAGTACCTTTAAGATTCGTATCACGTACAGAATATAAGTAATGTATGCATATGCCTCAACGTTCCTTTAAAACATTTCAGTATAAGTTTTCTTGAACTTTCTTGTGAGTTTGAATACAAACTTGGTGCATTGCAACTTGGTAACCCATTTAATAAATAAAGTTACTAATGAATCCAAGAAAATTGAGATTTTTAAAGTTGATTTGATTTAGGATTAGGTAATTCTTAGCCATCAACCATAAACTTTAGTAACACTTGAGTCTGATTTGATTTTGATAAGAATACAAGTTCATTACCGTCCATAAAAGCAAAAGATGTATGATAAGAAGTGACATTTGCTAATCAAGACAAATGAACGCCGATTTTTTAAATCTCACCTTTTAATTTTACTGTTATCGTCTTACTTTTTTTTGGCCTGCCGAAAATAATAAACCATTTTTTTTAACAATAGGTATCATAAAAACTTTACAAAACTTTGTAAGCATAATTGCTTTCTATAGTAGCCGATCCTAAACCTTAGATTAGTCGGTAGAAACTTGCCCGTTATTTGCATAATTGCTCAGGAATTCCATCTTTACATTTTTTTCCAAGATTCCTTCCAAGAAAATATTGCGTGCTGGAATTTTGTTATCTTTCATTAATATCCTTCAGAGCTAAGGAAGAAATTTTTTAATATAGAAACAACAAATATTTTAGTTAATTCAGTGATGGTGAACTATCTAATAATGTAGATATTTTGTAAGCTAAAGTAACTACGAAGCAATTAGAGTTTTAAATTTACATTTATCTAATTATTGTCTTCACTATAAAACTTTTGATTACTTCGAATTTGAGGTTAGCTCATACAGCCTCCAATACCAGAGTTTTAACCGCAGTAATTACATACTATTCAGTAGAAGCAAAAGACTATAAAGTATCAAAAAGTTTAATGTCTTCATCGACCTCACTCACACCTCCCAAAATGCAGTATTCATACCGCAACATTTCATCGTATGGGCGGAAGTGCTTAGTTGATATTTTAATTGAGGTGTTATTAATTATTACGCTGGGTAGTGATTAAGAGGGAGGGAGGGCACGCCCTCTGACGTGTAAAATGTATCCGACATTTGTCTGACTACACGCTACTCGAAGGATCAAAGGATTGGAGTCGTCGGTTGACTCGGTGCAGGATTCGTCGTAGGATATTCCTGTAAATAGAATTGGAGCTAGGATTTGAGACAAAGTGACTTAAGTGCCCGATTACCTTTTGCTACGATTCGTAGAAAATACGGAGTTGTATCTGCAGTTGGAAAGATTGTAGGTACCAACAAAGCACGATGTAACTAGGAAAATAATATTTCACGAAGTAAAAAAACTACTAACTCCTAACTGTATATACCTACTCAATATTCACCTTGTATTCTTATCGGCCAACGATTAATCATATCAGCGAGTAAATAAAACATCATTTCCAGAAATAATAATGATATGACTAATACACTGTAAACATTTTTCTATTCCGAAGTCAACGTAAATACCCAAACCATTTACATTCCCGATACTGTGTCCACGGAACACATTACCAATACAATTTTACTGCCTCTCAAGCGTAGAACCACAAAATACTTAGCTAACCTTCCGCGTACTCCTCGCTTTTTACTACTTGCAGAAATTCTTTGTTTCCAACCTCGCACAATGCACTGTTTCTAATAATCCCACTAACAAGTGGCTGGAAATGGAATGCCACAATGGACAGCATAATGCACTGTAACTCAAAAGCTTTCTAAAATAAAATTTTACCTCACCAATATTACCGGAGAGCCCAGCGTTTAGAACTATACTCGTAAAAGTAACAGCTGCACAATATTTCAAACTAAATGGATTCTGTTTTTTTCAATTACTCATACTATTACGCTTCTATATCGGATTGGAGCGATGAGCCTTCCGTAATTACCTGTGATGATTTTTTACCGGTTTTGGTCCCCATGTTGAAACCTGTTCGGGCTCGAGTGCGCTAAGAATCCACATCGAACAGTCGCTCGCTGCTCGGCAAAAAAACAATCTAAGAAAGCCACTGGCATCACAAACGTCCGACGCCCTTGAGAACACCAAATATTTACACAGTAAACTTTGCTGCACACTAAATCTGTTTATCGGGGAGAAATTTTGCATCTGCGTCACATTACTCAATGGAATTAACCGTGAAAATTTCCCCAATTCCATCATTTTGAACGCGGTGACGTTTATCCCATTAATGTCCCCATTAGTATCAATTTCGCCGTTATTAATCGAACGTGCCGTCACAATTAAATTATTTCAATGTTCACTACGGCCGTTTGTATTGTGTGATCGATACACCCCCGTGTCTACCTGGTTCTATCCCCGTTCGCAGCTCAAACAATGGTCGGCGGCAGATTTTTTTCTGAGCCATTTGTGAGGCGATTACCACCGGAACTGTGTACAAAGGCGCTGACAAAATTTGTCGGGGTATCAGTATCGTAGTTCCGACTAATAGACTAATATTTATGTTTTGTTGCGACCCATTGTGTCGGGAACATCCGCTCCCTGTCAGTGATGTACGTTGCCAATTTCTAAGGCAGGATCCGAGGTCACGGTCAGCCCAATAAAGATAACTGGAACGCCGTCTTTTGTTACATATTCGTGTACGCCTTTGTGTTCACATACCTCTTTAGCTATTGCTAATTTTATTAGAGGGGTGGTGAGTAGCGGATGTAGCGGATTCTATCGATATTATCGCCTCTCAACGGATCTTGTTTCGTTTCCAATACCGACTTGTAGGTAGACTAGTATTATTGGTTGGGAATTACTGGCTTGTGAGTAATGGCTTCTAGATTGAACTTTGGATAAACTGTATGAATGGTTAAACCACATGTAATTAAGTTTTTTAATTTTTGATCTCGTAATTCGAAATCGTATTTGACAATGCCGACAAGTCATAAAGCGTAAAAATATTTTAATTAACCAACCGATTGGTACCAAACAAAATGTACGTATTGACATCATTATACAAGATAAAGATATATCCGAAGCTTAAAGTAGCAAGTTCTTAAAAGGCACGGCTTTTTATCGTGTCCACTCACAGATACTCCGATATGGGACGGTTTAAATGCCGCGCATATTTTAATGGAGGTAAAACAGATATTATGTATATAAAAAAGATATTAATGTCTTGACATTAGACTTCGCCGTAATCGGTAAAAAGCGGTCTCGATATCGTATGGGAGCGGTATTTCAAAGGTTTTTAATCAATGTTTTTAATATTTTGTTTGAGGTTTCGTTGCGGCGAATTTATCTTCTCAATGTTAAGTTTTATGGATGATTTGAATTGATAATGAAAGTTTGAGACATAAATCTGTGGATTGATTAATTTACAATTATTTAATCTAGTGATTTCTTGACTAAATGACTAACTATCACTTAAGCCACTGATGGCGAGGTCTTAAAAAACAATCAATTTTATTTTGATAATTTTATGGAAATGGCTAATAAAAACCCTATGAAATGATTACCTTTGTATTTATAATGCATATGGTTTTTTATCAAACTATGTTATTAATCCAGAACAGTAAAAGTATACAGCTTAATAAATAAATACCTACTATAACTTTTCTTACAGCTTTTTCATAAAGCTTAGCTCAAATAATTTACTAAAAATATACATATTTAACGAGATATTAATTTAATAAATCAATGACCCCGCCATTATTACGTTTTGACCCCACTCACATCTAAATTGAAATCTATTTTGAACTACAAATGACATTTATTAGCATGCACGAGCATTGTGCACGTTACTTTGACCGTCATAATATTTGTTTTAATTAAAATTGTGCTTCTACACAAAAGCTTGTTTACTTAAGCTAAATATTAGCTTGGGTGGGTTTTTATACCTGCTTCTCTGGACCTTAACGGTTACATTTAATTTAAACCTTAATTAATACAGTTAAAGCTCCCATTTGTTTAGATGTGCAACTACGGAGTACGGAGAATAGCAGCGTACTTATCTTGTACAGTCAACAGAAATAAGTCCGATTGGTTTTCATCGTTGCTATTTTAATATGATCTTAGTTGACATTTCGCTGTCTGTATTTAGTAAAATTACTATTAAAAATAGAAACTTAAATCTTTTTTTTCATTCCCCCTATATTCAAACGCGCTAAAAGCTCGCAGTATTTTATGAGATCCTGGTACAAAATAACTGTGGAAAACAAACAAAACAATACAACGTTGTAAATCCATTTAGACTTCACACTTATAAATGTATGTTAACTGCACATCTAATAGAATGGTCTCTCAAGACTTGTGTATGTGTACATCAATTTTTACATACAATAAAACATCATAATCTTTTACTGCTTTATGTGCTCCTTTTAGAAATAATAATTCTTGAGACGCTATTATTAATAAGAAACAAAACAAATTATAAAGTTATTTCGGGTGAATAAGACTTCATTGTTATTATTACAATAGCCTTAAAAGTTTTGGATTACCTTTCCGAAAGGAAATTCTTAATTGTAACTGATATTAAAATTAAAGAAGCCTGTTACTGATATTTAAAAATTGTAACTTCCAAAGAGAAAGGTAAAAACTTCTTAATGAATTTTACTTAGTTCGTCTTTCGTTACTTATCAAATTACTTGTAATTAATTTTAATTAAGACGGTAATATTATCTACAATGATGATTCTAGCTTTGTTGTAGCCACGAAATTCGCGTATCTAGACTAAGTAAGTATTACGTGATTTAGAAGTTATTTTAGGTATAGTTGTTGCAACTTACGAAGGCGAGTGAGCTTTACTGGTGTGTACAAAATCAAAATCAATTAGACTAATTAAATTAGTTCTTGCAAATCGTCAAATGCTCTTAAGGAGCCTATACATGTCTCATTCTTTTTTTGCCCTACCAGCGCTTCGAGACAAACATTTTGCAAGTGCTGAGAAGAAGCGCCGCAACAAACTCAGTCACCACTGTCTGCCGGTTTAAAAATTTAAAAAGTAGGAAGTTACAATACATTCAGAAGCAAGTTACTTACCACGCGCTCCCGTTGATAGAAGGTGGCCTTTAAGACGCCCATCTAGCACGAGACCGCGTGGCAGTTTTGAATATATTTATTTAGTGCCGTGCTAATTTCATGTACACACGGCCACACTGTTAACTATCCATTTCCGTTTTTGCTCTTGCTCTCATTAAATGGTGATTCTTTAAGATAGAACGTGACGACATGACAAGCAATGGATAGTTAACACTGTTGCCGATGGTACATGCACATAACGATAGTGCAATGTCTATCAAAACTTTTGAAAACGAACAGTAGCGAGCCACCACTCACGTAAAGCTCACACGCCTACGTGAGTTGCAAGAACTATAATCTAGTAACTTATTTTTCTCTTAACGATAAAATTAATAAAAGTCGTTTGAATTTTATAGCACACTGCATTATGTCTGTATGTCACAAGATTAAGTTATAAAAACATAAAATAAGATCTCTAATAAAAACCCACTTCGTGGAATGAGAGAATTCAATGACTTCACAGGTATGCTTCCAAAATATCAGATTTCTCCAGATAAAAATACCGATAAGGTAAAATACGTAAACATTATTAGCTTATGGTAAAAGCTCAGCTATTTATTTACATTTTAAGTATGAACTCATTTGTATAATAAAATTAATGATCAAAATGATGTATTTTGATGAAATTATTTCACTTCACGACGAAAACGAGTTTAATTTGATAGAAACTTTTATAAAGAACTTCATGGATTGATGAAAGATAAACGTTTCCAAAAATAACTTTGTCTTCCATTCGATTTGTATTCAGTTGAGTAAGATCTTGAAGTTTAACATTTATTTCCTTTATTGGGAAGACGAACAGATTTTTAATGCATAAAATAACGTTATAAAATATTCTAAGATGTGTTGAAAAGACAACTTTGATTAAGTACATTGATATACCTACATCTTCCTATACGTTTGTTTCATTAAAAAATATTCTAATGTAAGGATAGGTATAAAGTGATGATTCTATGGTTCGGTTAGCACAATAATATGCCTTTGGATCTATAAGCTATATCACACGCCTTTAAAAATCTACACCAGTAACTTTCCTTCATTCTTTGACTAAGTTTTTCCACCTATCTTTAGAAGCCATAATATCGCACACCTAAAAATTTACACGAGTAACTTTCATTTGTTCTTTAACCAGATGTCGTCCTGATAGAATGATGAAGATGCAAAAAAGGAATATTACTATGTAAATTCTACCTAACGAACGTCATTTGTCACTTACCCGAAGTCTCGCCAAACTGGCCATTCACATGGACCTATAAAAAAAGTCGGACGGATTCTCATCAACAAAATACTGTGACGTTAGGATACACCAGCTTGCCTGTACGTACAGGCCGGCATGCACACATTCACACCCTGTTACACCACTTCGAGTGCAAACTTCACACAGTTGACACATTTAAGCAGCAAAAAAACAACACGAATACGACATGTCTTGTGTGATGAAATTGTGTAAAAACCGTTCTGTTCGAACAAACAAAAATTAAGGAATCACATTTCACAGGCAAAATAATAAATCCAATCACTTATTTCCCGACATTAAAATATTGAAATTAATTGAAATCAAACGTCATTCACTCGAAAAAATAATACGTCAAAGACCAGTGTTCTCAGTTATTTACGTGGGAAAATTACCCGAAATATGGGAAATTAATAATAATTTTAGGACTTTTTAGTTATTTATTACGCATACTATGGAAATAAAATAATTTATCATAATAATTGTGTTTTAATGGGATATATTTTCATAGGCAAATTTGATCCTCCCCAAAAATGTGGAACTGCAAAATTCAAATTTTCTTACATTGATTTCAAGTCAGTGTCAGGTTGTATGTTAAAAAAAATTATAATAAAAAAATAACTTTTTTAAAAACAAGCTTTAAGCGAAAGCTTGTATCGCGCATGAAATTTATTCCGTTTTTCTGTTTGCGCTACAAGCTTTCGCTTATAGCTTGTTTTTAAAAAAGTTATTTTTTTATTATAATTTTATTTTACACTTTTTAGTTGTATCTCAATCACTGGGCCCTGGGTCATCATTTAGCACCAAAGTGCTCGGGAATTCGAATCCAACGAACCCAAACTCGATAAGTTTCCGCCGTTTCGTTTAGGAGTTCCTATGGCCACCACCTGACTCCATCATCAGACCAGCTCAATGGTACCATAACATTGCATTGTCATCGTACTTACATAAGTATACCAAATTTCAGATCAATCGGTTGAGGAGAACTGGTCTTAAATTCAGTTGCAAGATTTGTCCCACACATACTA